TGCTTTAGCTCCAATCCCTCCTTCGGGGTGCTCCATGGTTCAGGGCTATCAGCATATGTATTTGACCAAATACCTGATCCCCCACTAAGTCACAAGCTCCATGAGGCCAGGGACTAGGCCTTTGAGTGCTGCCTTGTCAGACCCAACACCAAGTACACCTCCTTCCTGTGTCCTTTGCCACCTCCCTAGACCTGACTTCCTTGTCTGTCACCTGGATGGCTGTACCATGCTCCTCACTGGTCTTGCTTCCCATCAAAGCCACCTTGTGCATACACTGCTTTTCCACTCCTGGCAGCTACAGTCTGCCTCATTTCTCATATGGAGGGATCATTTCTGACCCAGATGAGAAGGGCTAGGGAATCCCATTCCCACCAGTGGGTCCAAAGTGAAAGAGGTGGGATTGTTTCTACTGGTTTGTTTACAGGTCCCAGGTAAGTCCTGGACACCTACATCATCCATGAAGCCACAGCCTTACCTTGATGCTGTCCAGGTGTACAAGTTGGTAAGCTGAGGTAGCACCTCCTCTTTTTAATTTTCCAGATACTCTCTTGGGTATCTCCTCCTCCAAGAAGCTGTATTAGATGTCTCCCCTTTTTGCCTCCAGGGATCTGTGCTTCTCCTAGCACAGTCCTACAACTCAGCTCATTCATTCATTCATTCATTCACAAAACTTGTTGAGACCCTCCCTGTCATGTAGGAGACAATGTTCTAGGAGTTAATATACCTGTGCACAAAACAGACAAAAATTTCTGCCCTCATGAAGCTTCATTCTAGCAGGGAGACTGATAGTGAAAAAGATAAATAATTTCAGTATTATTAGACCAGGTAGTGATATGTACTATGTAGAAAAATAAATCTCAGTTAAATGGTAAGTATGGGTGTGGATTGCAATTTTAGAAGGGCCAGGGAGTGGCACTAAAGACTAAAGGAAGTGAAGGGGTGAACCTCATGGATGCTGGAGGAGAGGGATGCAGGGGTGGGGGTGCCTGTTAGCACCAGTTCCTGGAGTGGGAGAGTAGTGGAGTGACTAGCAGCAGCAAAGTGGGTGATGGAAGAAGATGGGAGGTAGAGCAGAGCAGGCACATCCCACAGGGTCTGGGGGCCACTGGAAGGTCTTTGGCCATTGCTCTGAATGAAAGCACAGCCACTCAGGGAGTGAGGAGAAGACAGGATCTGCCTTAGTATCACTCTGGCTTCTGCACAGAGTGGGGACTCCAGGAGGGGAAAAGCAGGGAGCCCAGACAGGAGGCTTTGGCATGAATCCAGCTGAGTGAGCTGATGTTATAACATAAAGTGCCCTGACAGTAGCATAAAGGATCTAACTCTAAATGACAGATTCTTGACCCAAATCACAAGCTCCAAGGTGAAAACAAAGGATTTGAATCCAGATAGCCATCATCATGAGTGGCAGTGTAAATGGGACAGCATCCAGGCCAGCGAGGCTCAACTGCAGACCCCCGAGTCCCTCCGGGGTCCCCTTTGAGCTTCCTGTCAGCTCTTTTGCCCAGTCCCGATATTAAGAACATAGTAGCTTTTTCAGCCTTCAATCTCAGGTCCAGGCCAACCTCCCACATTTTGATGTGTGAAGGACTCCAATAAACTCTGGCTTTGACTAGGTAAACTCACCCCTGTACCCATTGGATCCTGTTGGACTACTTTGAGGTCTCACATTTGCTTATAATACCAGAAATGTCACTTAAGCACAAGCATTTATCTCCAACCTAGGAAGGGTAAATATAGGCTCTCTCCTACCCAGGGCAGATATCACTAATTAATCATGATAATCCTTCCACTGGGGTCAGGCATACCTTTCAAATTGGGGGGGGGTCCTGTAAACTGCTACCAAATGACTGGGAAAGCCATTTACATTTCAGCAAATATCTCTGGGCCCAGATGATGGTGATGATAATGATGACAGTGGGTATTGATGATGATGATAGTGAGGATGTTTATTGTACTTACAGATAAGCCTTGGGGTTTGAGACTTGTAAAGTACTTTCAGAAGCTCTATTTCTCCAGTTTATCCCTACATCCACAAAGACAGGGTTGTATTGTTCAAGCCTTTTTAAGTTGAAAGTAACACAGTACTTTTTTCTCAATCGTGCTAGGAAAAAGCTCCACTGATGTCTAGACTACAGTTACATTTCTGTCCCTCAGGTCCCCAGGGTTTTCCCCTGCCCATACTACATGGACTGAAGAGATTAGCATGAAATGGGAGGGGGCAGGTGATTCTCCAAGAGAATGGATTATAAGGTGAATGTGGTGATGCACATCTGTAGTCCCAGCTACTCCAAGTCTGAAGCTAACCTGGGCAATGTGGTGAGAATCCATTTCAAAATAAAAATAAATTAAAAGGGGGACTTGCATAACATGCACAAGACCTGGGATTCAATCCCTGGTACCAAAAAAAGGGGAGGCACTAGAGGTACAAAAAGCCCACAGTTTTTCTATATATACGTACTATGATAAGATTTACTTTATAGGGCTGGGGATTTAGCTCAGTGGTTTCGGCGCCTGCCTTGCAAATGCAAGGTCCTGAGTTCGATCCCCAGTACCAAAAAAAAAAAAAAAAAAAGATTTAGCTTATGACTTGGGCAAGTAAGAAATTAACAACAATAGCTACTAAAATTCAACAATTTTAACAATATACTATACTAAAAGTTACATGAATGTGGTCTCTCTTCTTGAAAAATCAAGACACATATTTTCAGAGAGGTAACTAAGACCCCAGAAACCTCAGGTAAGGGGACAACTGTAGTTGCCCCTCCCACTCATCTACATTTTACGGCGCAAAAGAGTGGTCGCTCAGAGATGACCAGTGCCCCACCCTCACACAACAGTTCACGGAGAGCCCAGGACTCCAGTTCATTTCTCTGCGACTCTGAGCTTGGGATGCTTTTCTTAGCCTGGCCCAAGAGCTGTTTCTGAGACTAAGTCAGAAACCCCCTCATTGCCTTCGAGAGAGCCCAAGGTGGGGCCCTCTGAGAGGGTCCTCAGTAATGCTGACGAGAGCCTCAGTGTCTTTCTGTCAAAGTGGACAGATGTGGCCTCCACTGCTGCCTGGTCTGTCCCAAGCCTGGGCACGGATTCAGAGGGCACAGAGGTGGCAGGATGAGCCTGGACTCACCCCTCCCGGCATCAGCCAGCCCAGGTGGAGCTGTCCAGCATCCTCCCATCCGGACGACAGCAGGAGTCCAAATAGGCAATTAATTACTGCCTGCCGACCTCCGCTGCCCTTCTCCTCAGCCCAGTCGAGTGTGTAATGGAAACGGGACCAGAACAGACTTCCCTGCCCAGAGGGAGCTTGGCATGCCCAGCAAGGATCAGCTCCAGGGAGCAGGGTGGGGGTAAGATGCAGAGGTGAGTTTATTAAGACAATGAGCTTCCCCTGGCCCCTCACCCCTCACTTTCCTGGCTTCTTGGCTGCGGGAAACAGTCCGCAGGGCCCTTCTCCTAAGTGATCACTCCCTGGCAGTCTGAGTATAATGATATCGGTGATACTAATCTTAGATATTAGTAGCAGTGTGTTCGTTAGGCAATATCCTGCCTGCTTTAAAGAACTGTCTCCTTTAAATCCTCAAAGCAGTCCTCTGATATAATTTGTAAGCCTATTTTATTGATGAACAATGTTGAGAGCTAGGGAATGGGCTCTCAGGGGTTGGTGGGAGACAGGTTAGAACAGATAGACTCATTTATGTCACTTGCCCTATGCAACTTACTCAACTTCTCTGTGCCTCAGTTTCCCCATCTATAAAGTGGTGATGGATGGGCATTTTCTGCCTTAGAGTTGTTCAGACAGTGTTGGATGTGAAGCATCATAAAAGTGTAACTGCATTTTTAGAAGGTAGGTGCTATTGTAGCCTTGTTCTAAAGTAACAGTGGAATAGTAAATGTTTAGGTGCATTCAACGGGTGTACACCATTTGCCCCAATTTACATGACAAACATCACAAGTAACTAAGTAACTTCATCCACAAAATTCCAGGCACATTCTGAATCCTCTCACTCTGCTTTCTGTATCCCTTGCCAGCCACAAGCTCGGTTGAGTGGGTATCATTTTCTGTTCTTTGTATTAACGGGAATTTTTCTTTGTTTCCAGAAAAGGCATTGAAATTCTGATGAGGAATTTGCTTTTATACAACTTAGACACTTCCCTGCTAGGGATCCAAACTAGCTGAAAAATCACTGCCTCTGAATGGCGGGAATTGATCCCCCTGGACATCCAGATGGGCAGATTGGCAAGCATAGGGTCATGCAGCAGCAAAGGAAAGAAAGAAAACTCCATTCAGATCAATGGCACACAAAAGACAAGCCACAGACACTAAAGTGAGACAGGGATCACTCTCTCCTCATTCTTAGCTTGTGAGGTGTGCTGTGTCTGCCTCATCCTCTGAATCCTAAGGAAGAGGGGCTGGGATAATACATTTCTGCCCAGCACCAAGCTGTGGGCCCAGGACAGAGCAGCAGAACAGTAAATGCTGACTAAAGAAATGAATGAGCAAATCAATAAATGAATGATATATCTATCCTATCGGAGAAGCTACAGAGTACAAAGTTTTTGAGAAAAGAAGGAAGGAGAAATAAATAGAGACTGCTGTCTATTCTCAGGTCCTTGAATGCTGAGTAACTTCTGTGGTTTTTGTGAAAGAACTCGAATGGTAGTCAAGCAATAAAAAAAATGTACAAAGGGTGTAGAGTGTTTTATCTTACGTGCTAAAAAAGGATAAGGGTAATAAAAGCACATATCTGAACTTGTTTACATAGTTGTACTCATGGTACAGGCAGATGAGAGGCTAAGGAAATTATCACAGAGGTTAGGGAAAATCAGAGAGTGGATGGATGGAAAATGGAGCAAGGGACAGAGAAAGGCACTTTTCACTATACACATTTTGTATTTTTTATTTCTAAATCATGTGAAATAAAGAAATATATCAAGAAAAGGAAAACAGTAAAAACATAGGAAAGTTCTACTTCAAGAAAATGCTAAAGGAGAGTCTCACCGCACCTGATGTATGGGGAAGGGAGAGAATGCTTAGTTACTTCCTAGTTCCAGCTCATCTCCTCAAGGAGTCAATGTAATTAAGGGTTTGGAGATCTCCTAACCTATTGATCTTCGACTGGAAAGCATTAGATGAATTCCCAGGGGTCTCGAGCTTTCTGAAATCGTTTCTCTAAACTCCACATCTCTCTTGTTGGCAGTCTGTGTTCTCTGTGTGCCACTATGAAGGCTGAAGGGCAGATTTGGCGGTAGCTCCCAGGCACACAGACATCAGGAAGGACTTCTAGGGGTGGGTGTCAGAGAGCGTCCTGAGGAGGAAGGGAAAGAGGAGAAACTCAAAGGCCTGAGCACCAGGGGCTGAGGAGACAAAAAGAATGAAACTCTGACCCTGCCTTTGTTGCACCCTTCCCCAACATCCACCTCCTGAAAAGCACTGAAATATCCAACACTGAAATGTCCAACTTAGAGAAAGACCCTCACCAGCCGCTGGATTGGTCTGAGGGATCCTGCAAGGGCAGGCTCTGACACCAGGATGACATTTGTGACAGCAGGTGTGGAAGTGGCCCAAATTCTTTCCAGGGGCATTGAACCCTCAGGGTTCGAGGGCTGAGCCCCAGCACCATGAACTGGCAAAAACAGGGTAGAAGGCAGGGGTCTTCAGCCCTGCACCTGGGGCCAGAGTTGATGCAGAAGCTCAGGGAGGGGCCAGCAGCTGAGTCTGGCTGTTACAGCTCTGAGGGTCCAGGCACAAGGATCTCTCTGTCTCTGAGATGTAGGCTCCAAGACCCGGTCACAGGGACCTGTGACCTTCAGACTCATGGCACCGAGGGATAGCCTCTGCTCCAGGCCTGCAGTGGGCACATTTGCCTGACTTTCACACCTTAGCGTGGAGGAGGCCTCCTAACAAAGTGTTGACCTCCATGTTGATACACAAGGCAGCCCAGGGTGTCCTTCCCTAAGAAGAAAACCCCAGCTTCAGTGTGCAGCTGCAAGGATCTAGGGAACAAGGAGGCCTCCAGCAAGCTATACAAAGTGCCATCCTTTGAGCACCGTCCTGGAGCCCGGCCATTCTCCCAGCTCAGGTGACAGGCTGCTCTGGGTGTGACCTCCTCTGTGAGCAAATGTGCTTTTTGTGACAGGATTTGTTCATTTTTGGAACAGACTATTATCTTTGGCTTTTCTCCTGGGCTCCAGCTTCATAAACCACCCGTGAGTGCCACCATCGCCTTAGGCTGAATATATAAAAGCTGGCAATAATAACAACAATAACAATAGCCACAATGATGTTATTAATCACAGATGGCATTCTCATTGGCTTTCTTCGCCAGCCAGCCTTTCTCCCCAAACTCCTTGCATCAGGCATGGCTTCTCCAGGATCTCTGCCATTGACTCTGGAACCTCAGAGCCATCTCGAGAAGTAGCTTGGCTTTGGTGACAGACAGCTATGGGTTTGAGTCTCCACTCTGGCTCTTGTAGCTGTGCGGCCTTGAGCCAGGCACTTATGCTGTCTACCCATTTGTGAAAGGACCAAGAGATATGTGGTGGACATCCATGCCTTGCTGCTCATTGCCTCTTCCCCCTCTGAGAACTGTCATGCCATAGCTGCATTGACCATAGTTTTACAGGACACTGACTTTCTGACTGTAATTGACTGGACCAGGGGTGGATTCTTGACTCAAGATGACCAAAGTCCTTAAGACAAACAGCCAGTCCCACACCAGTGGTGACAGCCATGAGATGGAAGCCTTGAGACATGTCAGCATTGTGTTGATAGATGATATGCTGAAAGAAGCAGACCCTAAACAGACAGGGGTTCCTGGTCCCAGCTCTCTTTGAGGTCATGCTACTTCCTGTCTTTCCCATAATCACCTGAGACCCCAGCATCCTTCCAATAAGGCCCCTGTGGACCTAAGCTAGTGGCTGAGGTTGAAGATAAAATGAGATAATACATAATTTGTTTCATAAATGGAAAAAATTAAGTCCTTGATGAGCTGTAACTAGGATTACTATTATTAAGAGAGCACAGACTCAGCTCAAATACACCCCATGAGAGGCAGTCCATGGAGGAGAGAAGATCACATTTTATTTCCTATACACCACTATGAGGAGGGTGGTCCAGGAAAGCTCCTTGGACATGACAGGTGTGGGAGGCCCCAAGGGGCATGGAAGACATCCTACCAGGGGTCAGAACGCAGAGGCAGCTCTTGCTGAAGTATAGGTTTCGGTGGCTTGGGGACTCATGCTCTTGGGGACTCATGCTCTTGGGAGTTATGCCTGGAAAAGGTGCCTGGCATCTCCACTAGTCCTTGCCTGGTTGTCAGCCCACAGGCTCATGGAGAGCCTCCTTCGTGGCAGGCTCCATGCGGAGCACCAGACACAAGGCCACACCTGCACATACCTGCAACATACCAGGGAAAATCACAGAGGATGGCAGGAATTCTTAGGGGGGCATACCTAAAACTTAGGGAATCAAAGAGGGCTTCCTAGAGGAGGTGCCATTTAGTGACCAAAAAATGAGTAATAATATTAGCAAGTATCCATGAAAGACATATTGCATGTGAGGTATTTTAGATGCTTTACTGCCTTTAATACTCTCCACTACCCTTGAGGGGGAGATCTGATTATTCCCATTGAACAAATGAGGAAACCGAGGCTCTGTGGGTGAAGGGAGTCTCCTGGCCACACAGCTACAAAAAGGTGAAGATTGACTCACATCAGTTCTGCCTGCTGTTAAAGAGTGTCTTCAAGCCCCAGAAATGAGAGAATGGGATTTGGGTGGGAAGCGGGTCACTCCCTGCAGCCAGAACTAAGAGGGCCAGTTGAGTTGCACAGGCTGGGGGCGGGGCGGGGGGAGAGAGTTTGCACTTCAACTGAGCAAAGCGGAGTGAGGACCACACTTGGCTTTGGAAATCTGCTGGGTGAGTGTCACACTGAGAGGCAGCCTGCAGTGGCTGGGGATGCTAGCACACAGACCTGGATGGCCAGTCACCCTTGGTGACAGGGCCTCCTCCTGAGCCCTACCTGCTTTGCACAACCCTCCTTGGGGCCAGACCTTAGAAAGAAGGAGCTCAGAGACTCAGACCCTCTTCATCTGCATCGAGGAGTGTGCTGGAGATTCTCAACCAATCATCACACAATCCTTAAATGAGCCATAATGATTCCTGATTGCTCCTTTGTCCTTGGGCTGGAGCTCAGAGCCACTTCCATCTGAAGCAGTGGGGAGGGGGCCATCCCCATGGAGACCCCTGTGCTCCACTGATTTCCTGTTTTAGGATGAACATATGTGGAAAGGAGCTGAGCTCCCCCTGTGTTCTCAGAGATCCGACAGGCAGGCACAGATGAACAGATGAACACCAGTTCCCACAGTGGGCAGGAGTTAACAGTCATGCTCTTCTCTGACCACTGGGGAAGAATCATATCCCTATCTGACTTATGAAGAAATGAGGCTCAAAGATTGCAGATAGTAGACAAAAGAACCAAGTGAGTTTTCATTCATTGATTCATTCAGCAGACATTTACCAAGCACTTACTATGTGGCAGGCACTGTACTAAGCATTAAATATAAACTTGGAGCTTTTTCCATCATGACAACAGTAACTAGCATTTGCCATGAGCCAGGTGGTCACTACTCACTGTCCATGTGACAGCGCATCACTCCTTGCACCAGCACTTAAAGCAGGAGAAGCAGGCTCTCAGACAGGGCAGGAAGTGTTTCTCTCTGGTTCCACCTGAATGCCAAAGTGGTAAACAAATAGGGACATTGGGAAGGAAAAGAGGCTGAGGGATTGAGGAGATGAGAAAGAGGGTCCAAAGGGGAGGGGTGGCCTCAAGATGGTAGCCCATGTGTGAGTATAGGAGATCTGATCAGAAAGCTCACATCCTGTAGAGGGTGAGGCACCCTGGTGAGAAGGTAAGACTTGAATATACCACACAGCTATGAATTGTGTCCTATTCAAAGATCCTTCTCAAACATGAAGAAGCAGCCTTCTCCCATGTTTCTTTGGGGTACAGGTGCAGCTCTGTGCAATCTGTTTAACAGTGAATGTCAGGGCTCAATTCTAGGATGCTCATTCTATCCCCATTTAACAGATGAGTAAGCTGAAGCTACTCAGCCACTAGGAATTACCTGCCCAGGGTCACTCCACCAGCAATGGCAGAGTTGACTACAGAGCTGAGCTCCCAAACAACATGACCCTCAGGCCAGCCCTGGTCCCAAAGGTCATGAGGCCAGCCTAGGTGCCCTTGCTACTGACAGGCAGTTGCTGGAACAACCTCAGCCCCTCACTGTAAACATCAAGCCCCTTCCCCCTCCTTCGTCTCATCCTCCCCACGGCCCAGCTCTGCTCAGAGCTATTAACCAGGTCACGCTGGCTCGTCCCAGTCCAACAGTTCCCTTAATTGCCTTTTTATAGCACGTCGTACAACTGTTCATTACGCTGTCATATTTCCCCTCGAAGGCAGCAGTGGGGGAGCCAAATTGAGGACGGAGACCCACCCAGGTGGCAGGGGCTGTGTGTGGGGCACCAATGTGTGAAGCTTATTTTCTACGTGGTCAGAATGAATTAAACGTGTGCTTCTCACAATTGGGTAACACACAAGCCATTTTTAAGGGGGAGAAAAAAATTACAGTCCCTTCCCAACGATTGACAAATTATCTTTATTGCAATTTTACTGAAATCTGCACAAACACAAAGCCAGGTATAAATTCCTTGTCCTTTTAGCAATATGAAACTGGAATAGCAAAGACAATAGATTGCTGCAATACAAAGCTACAGAATCAGAAATTTCAAAATAACTCGATTAATTTAATGTGATGGATGGTGTGTAACTGAGGTTAAATTGCACTTACCTGGTGAATGTGGTTCTGTATGCTTCAGCTTTTAGCCCCCGCCCCCCCGCCCATGTTCTTTTGTCATAGACCCACGGCAATTAAAGCAGTATTTGGTCATCTAGGAGACCTAGAATCTACTGGTAAATTTTTTAGATGTAAAATAATACAAAATTAACCAATTCTAAGAATAAGCTCACACACCTAGGTTAGGAAACAATCAATGTCCCAGGACCCCTTTACAGCAACGTAGGTCTACGTCAATCTGTAGGAAAGAGTTGTATGTTCTCAGGCTGGAACCCCGGGACACAAGGCCCAGCCCACTGAGGCCAAAGCCCATCCAGACTTTAGTGAAATACTCGAGCTCTTCTGAGCACCTGCCACATAGCCAGCCCTGTGTCTGCGACCTCCCCACCCTAGGAGGTGTCTCTGTGGTCAGGAAGGAGACAGAGGGAGCTGGGAGTGGCCATATACAATAGT